GATGAGCTGCTGCCATCACACCACACTAGGGAAGTCAGGGCAGCTGCCCTGGGCTGAGCCCCACCTCTCACAGCTGGCACAGACTCACCTCCTAGTGATGCTGTGGTAGCAGTGGCTCATCACGTCAGGCAGGTGGGCAGGACAATTACTCATCACTCTGCATTGTGCCCCATCCTATGAGGGCCCAGCTGCTTGCAGCCATGGTGCCAAGACTGCACAGCTGCAGTGCCAACAGGAAGCCGGGTGGGGCCAAGGGGATGGAGGAGTCTGTGCACTGTGTGGCCAACCCAGCCCTGGCAGAGCAGTGTGGCACGGGGCACAACCCTCCCCCCTCAGGCTCCTGGAGGCAGCCAGACAGTCAGATAGGATCAAGTTCTATGACTTCATAACTTCATGACTTCTTCATAAGACGTCGAGTGGGTAAGGTAACTAGTAGGGTGAAAGTGCTAGACTTTAGGAAAGCTGATTTCAATGAACTCAGGCGATTAGTCAAGGACGCACTGCAGAGTAGGAGTTTTGAAGTGATGGGAGCCAAAGAAGGGTGGCTGTGCCTTAAGGAAATGATCCTTCGGGCACAAAGGGAGACAATCCTGACACGTGGAAAAAGAGGGAAAGGGGCCAGGAGGCTTCCTTGGCTGACCAGAGAAATCCAGGGCAGCCTACGGGCCAAAAGGGGGGCACATAAAAAGTGGAAACAGGGAGAGATCACCAAAGACGAATATATCTCCTCTGCTCGCGCTTGTAGGGAGGCAGTTAGACAGGCCAAAGCTACCATGGAGCTGAGGATGGCATCCCAAGTAAAGGACAACAAGAAATTGTTTTTTAGATATATAGGGAGTAAAAGGAAGGCCCAGGGAGGAATAGGACCCCTGCTAAATGGGCAGAAGCAATTGGTGACGGACAGGGGGGACAAAGCTGAACTCCTCAATGAGTTCTTTGCCTCAGTGTTCCTAAGTGAGGGGCAGGACAAGGCTCTCACTGGGATTGTAGAGAGGTAGCAGCGTGGCACCATACTACCATGCGTAGATCCTGAGATGGTGCAGAGTCACTTGGAAAAACTGGATGCCTTTAAGTCGGCAGGCCCGGATGAGCTCCATCCGAGGGTACTGAAGGCACTGGCCGATGTCATTGCAGAGCCACTGGCAGGAATATATGAACGCTCGTGGCGCACGGGCCAAGTCCCAGAGGACTGGAAAAGGGCCAACATGGTCCCCATTTTCAAAAAGGG